TTATCGAATTGATTTGAATGATTTCGTTTTTTTCTCTATGGAGAATCGTGTGTGGTTGTTGTTGTTTCTTTAAAACTTGTCATTTTATTGAGCTCAATGTGTAAGACTTGTGCCTTTTGCGGTTATCTCGGTACCATTTCAGAGAAATAGAAAAAAAAAACGTTGACAAACTGTAGGAAAAATCAAATGGTTGTTTCATCTTGGTCGTTAGTGTCGCGTTTATCAGTTATAAACGGCAAAAAATCGATGATTATTGCCCCATTAAAACGAAATAACAATCACATATAACTTGTTTTTGACTAATTTTATTGTCGTTTTCATTTTCGTTTTAATTCAAAAATGTGACCGTTCGCGACATATGCCGATGACATGAGGTTGAGATAGTTGGGAATATTTTTTTGTTCATTTTGTCATTCATTTGACAATGTCGTTCGAAACGGCATTTATTTATGGAATTTGTTTGATTATGATTCTTCGAATCATTCCCACATGTCATTTAAATGCGACATCTCAATGATAATTGCAAAGAAAAGCTTGAGTGACGGGCAAGAAACGTCTTTTTTTGTGTTTTAAATATAAAGAACCAATGACTTTTTCAACTATTTCATTGCTCTGCAGCTGAAAGTACAAAAGTTTGAACAAAAAAAAACTGTGACAGAAATGAAATGTAAACGACACGAACGTCACTTAATCTAAGAAAAATCATATACTCAGGTCAGAGACGAAAACAACAATGACAACGTGGAAAAGAGAGTAAAAAAATATACATTACACATAGTAAACGAATTATTATTACATGATATACATTCATATGTAATCGTAAGGCATGTGCGCGCAAGAGAACCGATATCACTCGTCCATACGATTAATAGCATCACAGCCAATGTAAAAATGGAAAAGAAAAAATCGTACAAAAAACATCACAAAATACGAATGGAATTAACAAGAAGTATATCAAGTAACATTTTATCAAATGTCACATATTCCTTTTATAGTCGAATGCGCGTTGATTATAGCTGAAGTGCTGTCACAAGTGTTTTTTCACCCTTTTTTCTCTATTGATTGCGTCTGCGGGTTAAAAATAGTCTCATTTTTGTCATCACACGAGCGGAACTTTAGCTGATAGTGATTCCGGATTTGACGATGCATACGTGCTGTTTGAGTGTTCTTCTTCTAATTTGAGTTGATTGACGGCAAATTTCAATTAGAACAAGGCGATTGAGTTCATTCAATTTACAACGATTCATTTAAAAAGTGCAGTTCATTCTGTGCTCTTTGACCAATTCAATCTTTCAAAATAAATATTCTATTTTTTACAGTGAACGATTACGTTTTTTACGTTGTAAAAATAATGTACAGCAATGTCACAGAATTTATGAAAGTTGAAAAAAAAACTTATTTTTATTGCATTTTGAAAAATATTTACCCAATTACTACTGTATTGTTCAGTTTTGCGTAATTCACTTAGAAGCCAAGTGGGATATTATATTTATTGATTTGTCAATAACAATAGTATGTTTAACTCAATTTGAATCATATTCAACAGCCATAATAATCATTATCAAAAAATTAAATAATCAAATCACATTCGTATTGCCTCGCATCGAGTGAATTAAATGAGTTTACATCTAAATTTTAACCGAAATTAACAAAGACATCTAACAAACGTGTTTTCCATGGCATTTCATAATTTTTTTTATGCATTTATAGACTATTGAAATAACCAGACCAGCCATTGACTACCGAATTATTTGATGAAAAATGTAAATTTTTTCTCATTTGAATTTCGTTTTTTTTTGTCTGTTGGTTCGATTGTGTTTTGTGTGGTCTGCGAATGTTGTGTAATGCTGTTATTTGGCTGAAACTTACAGCGTATTATTTCGTTTGTTAAGAAAGGTTCGACTCAGCTCGAGACGGTTTTAATTCCCCAAAACTTTTTTGAATGAGATCTCAAACATACCGAAAATATGTGGTATCGTGTTGTGTTCACACGACGAACCGCAATGCGACCGTACATTTTTTTTTCTTCGTTCCTATCTTATATTCGGTGTGTGTTGGTATATATGCGGGCTGTATGGATGATAACGTCTCTCGCACAGAAAAGAAATGACAAACAAAGACAATAGCGGTCAAATTAGTGCGTATTCAGTTCAATTCAGTGGACAATCATTTTCCCATACCAATTAACTATAATTAATGATAGATTGATTAAAATGTTTATTATCTTGGTTAATTAGCCGCGCTCACGATGGCCACTATTTTACTCTGACACTTTACTATCGAATGTTTCTGTTTTGCTACTAGCTTTCATAACAAATGAAAATGATAACAAATTTTAAAAAAAATATCACGATTTGTTTTCCATATTTGTTTATCGCTTAAACCATTTTGTCGTGCCATTTAAAAAGACGAACTACAATTTTTTTTCTTCACACATGATTTACTCTGGAATTTCATCTTTGAATCCTTCATCATTCGTTTTTCTCACTCGCAGCGATAAGATTCGAATTCGATATGATTTGTCATATATGTACAACGAAATGAAATGTAAATGACAATTCGGTTTCTTAAAACTTGTTTACCCGAAGTGTAATTCAATCCGTCTTCCATTGGCGAATGTAAAAAATGTCACAGTTTTGTGTGTGTGTGTGTATCAATTTCATTTGGATTCAATGAATCTCGATGTGTTCAATTAACTGTGAGACACAAAACCAAGAACTTTTGCACATATACTCGTTTGATACGCGCATAAAAGGTAGCCACCATCAAATAAGGCTACTGCTTGAGAAGTTACAAAAAAAATGACTGGCAAAGACGACAGATTCCTTCGGTCACAACTTACAAAATATAGTATGTGTGTTGCTTTTTTGAAGTGGATTTTTGAGATTAAGATAGAGAGATTCCCACAGTCACCGTGCAAAAGTACACATGTAAAACGGTTGAGCAATTCAAGTGCATTCAAACAGAAAAATGAAGAGACGTTTGTCATAAAAAATGCCCAAACAGCTCAATCATTTGGTGTTCGGTGAAGCGGCTCACGGTAAATCGCAAGTTATCCAACATACACACACACACACTTCTCGATTTCACATCATGTTCAGTTGATTTTTCGTACGGAAATTCTTTCGGTCGTTAGACATCAAAGAACGCATTTTGAAATGCGAATGAATTTCGAACAGTGAATCATTAAAGCAAAATTGAGCGAAACTGCAAACATGCGTTGCTTCTGTTTTTGGTGGTGATGTTAGTGTTTTCCATCTATCCGATTGCCGTTGAATTCTAAGAATAATAATAATCATCGAAATATATGAGTAATTTCCCATGAAAATTTACTGAACGAATTATCTTCCGTGCATTTTCAATTTTGTAAACTTTGCATAAATATTTGATGCCAATAATTAAGCGTTATCACTTTGCATCGAACTACTTCGATATATATATATAAATTCTAAATTGTGTGACGCTAGCGTTGAAAAAATAATGTACAGAGAATAGCAGCGACAATATTACACGCGGAGAAAGAGAGAGCAGAGAGACAGCAAGAAAAAAATAGGAGGAGTTGCCATATAGTTGAGCCCAGCAGCAGCAGCAGCACCAGCTCAGTAGTATATAGAACTGAATTTTCAATAGAATACGACTAACAGCACAAAAATATATCGGTAATGTTGTCGTATTTGTCGCACTCTCGCTCTTGCGTTGATATTTTGTATCTGAAACATAGAACAACAATACAGCGACACATAGCGACATCGGGTAGCAGAGACACACACAGTTCACCAATACACGCACAGTATCCAACGAGCATTCGGTCCTCACTCTCGCAACACACATACACCATACATACACATACGTACATACACGGGCGCAGGCACACGATATAAAAGTTGTCATTTTTACTCGTTGTTGAAATCAAGCTAGAATAAAAGAGACACTCCCTGTTCTCGGGCATTTGTGCTGACAAAGATTTAAACTCCGTCGTCCGAATTCAGGATGCGTACACTACAGGATTCATATAAATCGAGAGAGGGAGATTGAGAGAGAGAAAGAGATTGAAAATGGAAAGAGAAATGAGAAAGTTTTTTTTTTAAGTGGCGTATGGATGCTGCAAGCGTATCGATTTTTCATTTGACTCCTTTCTTTCAGGCATAAATTCAAATGCACTTGGTTTATTTAGATCGATGAAATATTTTCCGTTCTCCGAATTAACCGAGTTACAACCAAAGCAGTGAACTCCGTGATGGAGCAACATGTGTAAATTTGAGCATAAAATTACCAGCGAAACGATTTTTGTAAAAAAAAGAAGCGATATATGTGAATGTTGCATGACAACACATGCAACGCAACAAAATCACATGAAACATTCCCCTGTTCTGTTACGCGTTGCATTTGGGCATGTTGCGTTGTGATCGAATAGCATAGGTGAATCCAATACATCGATTTGCCACACAAACACATATATGCAATGTGAGTGAGAAGAAATAGCCACCACAATTTCAAATAAAGCCAAGGCGAAGCGGTAGCAATATGAGGCTGGTGACGATGATGTGGCGCATAAAGCGACATACAGCGACATAAACACAGCTCGTTCGTTCGTTCATTCTCTCTCTCTCTCTTCGTCTCGATGTATGTAATAGTGTGTACATTTAGACGACACCCACTTTAATCTCTTTTCCGTCGCATATTCGTATTTGTTGTCTCCGTTGTGTCGTTGTGTGGTGGTTGTCGATGTCGTTGTCGTCGTTTATAGCAAAAGCAAGAGCTTCGAGGTATTATTGTATTTGCCACGCTTATGTATTTCTATGTTGCGTGTGGAACGTTTTTCTCATCGTCTCTTTTGGTTTCTATTTTCATCGGTTTATTGCTGTATCTATATTCATCGTCAACACACACGAATCCACACATTGTATAATACATGCACTCGGACACATTCGGCTCCGACATCCACGGGTGTTGTTGTACAAACATATACATCGTACGTTTGCGCACTTGTTCATTCGGCATCGAACTGCTTGTGCACACATCATCGTCTTCGTCAGATCAGTAACGTTTCGAATTTCGACGAGTAAAGAACTGCGGTCAATCAAGCGCACAAACCTCTATCTATTTCGAGTTCAACAGAGAGTAGAATTTTTTTTTTACAACTCAACAATTGTTCTAAGTCCTCAGAACCAAGAGCACAGAAGCACCAACGAACTAATAATAACAACAACAACAGAAAAAAAATAAACATATCTTCATATGTGCAAAGTGAATTTCGAATATTTTTTTCTTAAATCGAAAAATAAACAAACCCTTTTTGTGAAAAAATAATTTATTTTTCGTCTACAAAATAAACAATTTTTTTAAAAATAAAAATTAAGAACTTTTGTGATTTCCGAAGAATTTTCAAAGTCTTTCAACAATCAGCAATCGACTTGGTCATCGTCACCATACGGTAAATATTAACAATATTTTTTCATAGTTTTATTCACATAATTCATTTTGTTGTTATTTTGGAATTTTTTCTTGAAAAAAAAAGAACATTCTTTGTACCGAAAAATAAGTGCTCATACAAAGTGTTGTTAATCTCTGAATTATTTTCATTTCGAATTGGTTTTATTGATCGCTGTAAATAAATGTGTTTTTCTTTGTGATTTGTGGTCATTTCTCTTTGTCCGTAAATATGCCAAACTTAAGAATAAAATCCTGAAAATTAAATACATTTTTTTTTTCATTTTGCTTGAGTGTTTAAAAAACCATTCAAAATCAATTTTTATGTCGTGAGATGCGCGTGATTCGTTTTTTGTTTGACACATTGAAATGAATAACGCCGTTTTTATGAGCCGAAGAGTCATCAAAATACGCAGAAGCAATGAGCTTTAAATTGAAAAACGATCATCGTTGTGATGTAAATCAAATTATTTTATGATCGGTCTTCTTGAGCAACATTTCATGTGTGACTAAAGAAAAGAGCATATTTTAAAAAGAGAAATGACCTCCGTCACATTGTTGGACTTTCTTCATTATTCCACACGATTTTTCTCTAGTCCTGATTCTAACTTAAATTGTGTAACTTAAAGAATGCATTTCGAATTTTTTTTTTCTGTCTCTTTCGTTGAAAATGGAATGAATTCGTCACGGAACCAGACGAATGAAATTGGAAATGAACAACAAAAAATCACAATAATCCATTTGACAATTTTTTTTTTCTTCAAATTTTCTTTGTTCGTGCGTGCATTCATCATGTTGTTATTCATTTGCCTTTTCAAGTAGTTTCTTTACTGTTTTCTTAAGCATATTTATCGTTTAAGGGTTCAATGCACACAAAGCAGTCAAATTTTAAAGTCATCTTCACAAAAATTCAATTCAATGGGCTCCTTAAAGATATTCAGTCTGGATATAGTTCATGAACACCTTATCCATGTGCGCTTTAAAATGAAACATAATGTTTCAAAGAAATGTTCTCTCTTCAGAACAGAAAATATACCAAATGTCAATTGTCACAAATTCCATTATTTTCTCAACGCCAGTAATCCTGATCTTTAGCCAAAGATAAAAAAAAGCGCACAATGACATATTAGACGTTGTTTTGATTGTCTACCAATGTTTTGTTCATTGCAAAACTAGAGAGAAAATGCTAATCCCATTGAATGTGTGCGGTTGAGGTTCTATTATAGTATTAGCATTTCAATTTATTAAATATGATTTTGTTGGTTTCGGATCATAAAGCAATTTATCTTGAATAAACTCTGGCTCCATTGAAACAATAAACTCATCCTCACGGCGAAAAGATCAAAAGAAAGAAAGAAAAAAAATCGACCATCATTCATTGTTGCTCTTTCTCTGTTAAATTCAAATTAAAAAGATGTAAATTACGTGATATTTTTATGGCTAGTTCGTTGTTGGCTGACGTGCGCCGCGCTTTCCATCAACGAATTCAAAGGAAAAGATAAAATTAATGAGCCATCACTGGCGACCACGAGAGAAAGAACAAAAGAGACAGTGAAAGAGAGAGGGAGACAATGTATGTGGCAAACGGTTCCATTTCGTAACAAGGTCTAATGCAATGCAATATCAAATTCCTATTACAATGATACAGCAAATCGCATGGGGGTATTTTACCGACGCTACAATTATTCAATGTCAAACCATAACGAATACGTCATTTTTGTTAAGGGTTCATAAATAATTTCTTCAAAAAAAAAGAAAACAAAATTAAAATGATATTCGTTTGAATGAGGTGAAAAATTGGCGTGACAAGGTGCTTGAATGCACCTGCTTCAAGCAATGAAAAGAATCTTCCTGAAATAATTATGCGGCCGTTTGAAAAACCGTAAACAAAAATGAAAAACAAATTCAATGCCCTCACACAACGGCCAAATGAACTTGTATCCAGATGATGTGTGCAATACGCATTTGCGGCTTTTAAAAATTCCCATAGATCCATTTGTATACGCGCACCTTCAATTAATTAATCGCATTTTCTCTCGCATCCTATTCAAAGCATGGCAAAAATAAGTGTGAGCGGACTATTGTGACCGGGTTGTATACCGTCATTCCGTCTCATAAATACCTTTGAATAACGATACACAATGACTCCGTATATTACGTTCGATGCATCACATCTTCTCTCATTCGGTTCGTACATTTAATGCTTATGCAGGCTTACACACAAGCACACATTATTACGGCTTAGAGAGTGCGAGACGCAGTGTGAACAAGCGAATAACAATAAAAGAACATTCATAATGAAAATCACAAACAGATTCGAAGTACCAAAGCGAAATCAGATGTCATTTCTCGTATCGCTATAATCATCGAAGCATAAAACCGCTTATTTGAGCACAAATACATTTTATCGAAATGCATATACACCGCAAATCATCTAACTTGAGCTTCGTTCGGCCAATGATTTCCGTAAATTCTTTATGACAAACGACAAACATTGCGACTAACAACACATTAAACCTCTCGGCCGTTATGTACGCACGCAATAAAACATATAGCATTTATGCTTCGATTATTATTCAACCCAAAGTGATTATTGCCATTTCGCGCGCAAATCAAAAGCATCTCAATGCATGAAATATTATGATGATTGTTAGCATTACATTTTGTTCAGCTGATCGAAATAGAGACGTTGCAGGTCTAAAAAGTCATTTCGCAGTGTGTGACTTTATGGAGTTTCAAAGCAATATTTATTCACTGCACACACAGTTTAATTGGAAAAAACAAGACAATTTAAAGACCATAGCATATGATCTTCAGTTGCAATATGTTTGGTTTGCGATTTTGATCTCCTTCAATCTCATCAGCAACAAACACACACACACACACGCATAAAAATCATATCCCGTTCACATGCTGTGCCTTGTTTCCTTTTTCGCTCGCTCTCTCTATCTCCATCTCCGCCTGTGCCTTGTTCTTCGTGCATTATTTATGGTCACCACATTTCTTTCATATCTTTGCCGACATTTACCTTCTGCAATAGATCAACTATACGAAGCACATACCATAAGAATCATTCCAATAGATTTAAAAACATTTTGTTTTCGAATGTTCTACAAACACACGTTTATTTCTTTATTTTTATTTTTATTGTTTTTTTTTTTTGTATCGAACGCAATTTTAAATTTTATTTCTTTTTTTTTCTTGTCATTTTTTCCAAATAGATTTACTGATTAATACATCAAAAGAAAACAAAAATAAAATGCAACTGTTTGATTTTCGTAAATTGGGCGCTTCGATGGAAACACATTCGGTCGAAGCAGCTGAAATGATTTCGCAGCAATTTTTGGAAGCTCAAAGTAAATTGCACTTCGAACAATCATTAGCTCGCCACAAAGCCGTCGCACCGCTAAAAGTAAAATCACAAGCGAAAAAAATGCGCAACGGATTCATGCCAAACGATTTCGGTATTGCATACATTGATCCATCAACGGGTAAAAAGCGTATTCAATGCAATGTCTGTTTCAAGACATTCTGCGACAAAGGCGCATTGAAAATTCATTTTTCGGCCGTTCATCTAAAGGAAATGCACAAATGCACCGTTGAAGGATGCGTAATGATGTTCAGTTCGCGTCGGTCACGCAATCGTCACAGTGCCAATCCAAATCCAAAATTGCACTCACCCTATTTGCGCCGTAAAATCTCTGCATACGATGGTCGTAGCTTACGTGCATCATCATACAATGGTCCAATGTTACCACCGGAACTTGCACAAGGTATGCTTCCAGCTGTTAATCCAATGATGGCATTGTCATTGAATATGTTCCGTCGCGATCCAAATTTCAATGCAACATCACCATTAAATCAACCACATCCGTATATGGATTCGACAATTTCAACATCATCGGTAATGTCAAGTCCAAAATCATCATCGCGCAGCAGTACAGAAGATGAAAAATTCTATATGAAAGCAAATTCAATGCGTGGCACATCGATAACACCACCATTAACGCCACCTATTGACACACTTACCGAACGTGCAATGTCTTATTCGAAATCAGTGAGCATGAAACGCAAGCGCAAGAGTGAAAAACCAATTCGATATGATGCACAAATGCCATTGACAGAAGAGCACGACGAACCATTAGATTTGATTAGCAACGAAAAACAAAAAACAAAATCGATGCGATTCCATGACGATTTACAATCCGATTTGCCATTAGATTGTAGCCGATCTGGAACGACAGCCACCTCAAATGGAAGCGTTCACGAAGAAGATATGGTATTGGATCTCTCAATTAATAAATCAAAGCGAACTGACAAGGAAATCAAGAGCAAAACAGAAGTTGAATCAACCGAATCCACCACGTCCGCATCACCATCAGCCACCGTCGACGATAATGTACAACGCAAACATGACATTCAATCGTGGATTTTGAACGCAGTACGACAAACACAGCTCAATTCACTTTTGTACAGCCAAATGCAAATGCCACCAAGTATCTCAGTCGGTTAAATTGCAAATTGCATCAGTACAAATAGAAGATGAAAAAAAAAATCGAAACAAAAAAGCCATTCTAATATGTTATTTAGATTAAAATTACATTTTGTATAAATAAGTGCAAAACAATTGTCAAATAGATGGAAATGAATTAGATTTATTATTATTATTTTGAATGAGTTGACTCGAATTGCCAAACTAGATTATTCGTTTTCAGTTCGTCAGAAATGCTCAATATTGTCGGTTTAGTTAAAACGTTGTTCTTAATCCCATGTACAAATTTTTATGGTTAATATATATAAATGTAGAATTATAAGTTTATCATCTCAATAAACAAGACTTACACTATACTTAACGGCTTAGTGATAACTCAACATCATAGATTTAATTCGTACTGTATTTAGTGCAATGCAAACGCAATGTTAATAATATACAAGCATGCCGAACGGTTTGATTTCAAATTTATGTGTAATAATATGATATACGGAAAAATATTGAACTCTAATATTTGATGGACTAATAATAAAAATAATCGATTTAATGATGATTGAAATAAAATCGTACGAATAAAATAAACACACGTTTTCTATTTTAATTATTTCCCTTTCTGCTTCGCCAAAGATTCATATTTTGATGAAAGAAATGACATCAATTTGTCTTCCTCCGTAGATTTTTGAGGACTTTGAAGATTAAAATAGCGACCATTCACTTAACTATTATGTGGCCTAACAAGATGATCCAATTAGCTTGAGCCATTTCTCATTTTCAGCAATTAGTCTTAAAAAATAATAATTGAACATGAAAAAATGTGTAGTATTAACATTTCTTTAAGGCGGAATACGCGAGGGTTGGCGCCAGATTGTCTTTCAAACACATTAATCATTCTTAATCATTTAACGAGATCAGGAGGAAAAAATGACAAAAAAGAATTTTACGAATGAAACATTTGGTGCGTGTGCAAAAGCTGCTTCCGGTGCATGACCAATCGTATTGTTGGCGTTGATGAGTATTTTGATTTTAATACGTGAGAAATTCTTACCAAGCAATTCATAAGGTAGTGATGATATTTTGTACACTAGTATTTAATTAAAGTCTTTAGTATAAAATTTATGAACCACAAACAAGCGTTTACCGCGAAAAACAGTAGTCATTCGAATTTATTAGGAAAGAAAAAAAGCACAGCATTCGAGACATATTTCTTGTGAGTTGAAATGCAGTGAAAAGGCCAGCGACATCAGTTACAAAGGAGCGATTAAAATTTCAAAATGGGAAAGTGAAATTCCGTTTGAAATCGTCGTCGTTGTAGGGGGAAGTTGAAAAATTCACCAACCATTTTCCATTCAATGCTATGCACTCTAAAATGAACAGTTGAAAAACACAAAGCAGCCCAAAATAAATTGTAATCGTATCATGTAGCGGTTGTTTGACAACATCAACGAATGCCAAATGGCAAATGAATAAAGCAGCTCTCTCTCTCTCTCTCTCTCTCTCTCTCTCTCTCTCTTGTTAAGTAGGTGAATTATATTTAATTAATTGTATTTGTTTTCGGGAAAAAGAGTGCTGAGGTATTTATTCGTGCCATTTGTTATGGACGACAACTTCCATTCCTTGTTTCGTTCATTTTCACAGCTAAACCAGTGTGTTCCACGTCAAAAATACTATTTAATGTAATTCGAGACGAGCAATTATAAGCATTCATAAGAGCAATGTTCCGTTTTTGTTGTTGTAGGTTTTTTTTTTGTGCGTGTTGCGTTTTTTCTTGTTTGAGATAGAAACAAAACGACGAAAAACAATGAGAAATATTTTTTTTTTTCAAGGGTAGTTGCATTGCACGCCTCTTTACTTTTTTAATTTGAATTTTGCTTTGCGCTGAATTTCATTGTTTTCACTTGGGGTTACAATGTACAGATAAACCGATTAGCTCGACACAAAAAAAAAAACAAACGGAAGAAAACGATGACGAGTTTTTAATTTCTCCACTCAAGGATAGATAGTTAAACAAATTAAGCAATTTAAGCGACCACAAAGAATTAAAAAGTAAATGACTTTAAATTAAAATCTCTTTAGAGCAAATGGTCCAATTTAGTAGGGGCACAAATGAAATTGGACATTTATTTAGGAAAATATGCTCCTGTCACTTCATAAGTAAAATTAATTGTTTTTTTGACGATTGCGGCATAACAGGGCCAAAACCAATTTCCGGGAAAATCATCGTAAAATGTGAACATTTCAAATAAAAAACAATCTAATATTTCAATATAATAACAGCAACAGGTGATTTCGGTTGCTCTTATGGACAAAAGTCACATATCATCCTAATGTATAAAAAATTACCTCAATATATAAAAAAACACACCGAACGATATAGATTTAGTGACAACTAAACGTCACCATGTTGCCACTGCGAACCGAATGGGAAAAAAAGAGATCCGAAAGATAACATCTCTTTAGTGAGATTGAATGGACAAAAAACAACGCACACACAATAAAACCAACAGATTTGACAGTCATAGACCTAAAATATTTGCTCGTACAAGTTCTATTGTTTTTTTCATTGTCTCAAAGTTCCAGTGAAACGGGAGGGAAAACCAAATAAATAACAGACAAATGATAGGAATGTGCTTACCGCATTCCCAGCAAAAATCAACAAAAAGAATCGCCGAACTGTGTGGAGATATGTGTTGCTGTAATGTGACAAAAGACGATAAAAATCCACCCTCATGTTTTTATTTTTCCAATTCTGGTGCTGTGTTTTTTTTTTTTTTACTTTCACTCTCTCTCGGGTGTTTTTTTTTCTCGTGCGTTAAAAACGCTTAGTACCTCTTGATATACACACACGTTTTGTTGTTATTGGATTCGGCTTATGTTGATGTTAAGCAAAAAGTCACTCGTATCCGATTGCAATTCACTCTCGATATCATGCCGCCGGTGCTTGATACAACCATTTATGTTCGCAATCATGTCACAAAAAAAGCAATATGTGAACGAAAAAAGAGAGGAAAAAAATCATCGAAGACGACAAGTGAAATGAAGGGGAGCAATTCGAACAAACACCAATCTTGTAATTTCCATCATACATTTGTTTGCTTTTTGTTAATGGTTTTTCATGGTGGTGCGTTGGTGTGTTTTTTCATGTTTTGCACTTAACATCGATTTGGCACACTTTACGATGCGCCGCGATAAGTCTATTTGCTTCGAATTCATAGGAAATTTATACTCGAGTCATAATCAAAATTGATGATTTTCGACGAGATTATGAAAGCCAAACAATTGATTTATTAGTTAATAAGTGATTTTACCTCGATTCTTGGAAGTTCACTGCTCTGGCGTATCGGGTATATATATATTTGTGTGCACATTATGTTGGTCGAAATAGTTTTCAATTTTCGAATGTTATGGCAGAGCTTAGGTAATTGTCAAAGGACGCTGTAGACTAATAAACTTTCTGTATTCTCCTTTATTTTTAACCGCAACACGTACATGATTCCTAGTGATACTTGGACGAAGTCTCTGAACCAAGTTATGGCCGTATAAAGAATGTTTTGATATTCTCCATTTGAAGACGATGCGTTTGACTCGTAACCGCAAGGAACATTGGTGCAGAGCACATGTTCTATTATTTAAATTAATTACAAAAATTTTCCACATGAAAATGCCGACAACAATGTTCAAGTGGTCAAACTATGCAATGAATGTGGTTGGCCTGACGTCTCTGGTGACCAGTTAAGAGAGAACAAACACAATTTCAAAAATGCATTGAAAAAATAAACACCATAAATGTGCACAACTGCAATTTCTTGATCCACAAAATATTTTCGGAAATTGGTCGGTATTGAATGTTCGGGGATTTGGTAACGATGCTTAAAAATTGAAGACGAAGAGATAAAATGATGCAATGAAGAAAATTGTTTTTTTTTTTAGATACATAGAGGTAACGTAACCTTATGTCCGATATTTTCGTATCGCATTGAATCCCATTCGGTATCGATTGCTGTTGGTCTAATATAATTGTCAGTGTAAAGACAACATCATTGACAACTTGATGCATTTTCCCACGTATGAAAAGCGATTTGAGCATAATAATTTAATCATCATAAATGAAGCGTTCGTATTTGAGATGCAACGAAACTAATTGCAATAATATGAAAAGTTTCCATGAAAGCGAAAAAACGAACAGAACAAAAAAATCCTTATTCTTCTGATAGAATGTTGACGAGGTTTTTAATTTGTGTTTAAAAGATTTGCTAAACATGCAATTCGAAACCAGAATCGTGCATGCTGCTCTCGAACAACGAATGCGATATCGACGAATTCACGACGATCGACACATTAAAGAACGTTTAAAATGCATCTAGTACAAAGTTGTTGCTGATTTGATTGCAAACGGCACTTGCTTTACTCCACAGAGATGAAAATCGGTGGAAAAAATGCCAAATGCAAACATATAATTTGATATCGTATTATTATTTGAAGTAAATCGATTGCATCGACTACTGACTCCTAATGCTGGCGATGACTCATCTCATTCAACGGTTGAATTTCAACCTTCTTGCGGTTCCGAACAACTTCTTAAGCTGCATTTCTTCTCCTTTTTTTTGTTCGTTGACAGCAACGTCACCGCAGTACGTACCATTTGATTCCTCTTCGCTCTCCGCTCTCGTACAACATAACAATTTAAATTATGTCTGTTATTTTATGAAAATTATCGACCAATCTCAAGTGCTGCAAGTGTGTGTATGTGCGTTGTACAAAAAATAACATTCAACCACTGAATAAGCGAAAATCGTCAAATAACGTATAAGGCACATCTTCCATATCGATTCGGTGTGGCGAGACCGGTGTGCAAAAGGATTTTTACTTTCATGCCATCGCATAAAAAAATGAAAAATTATCCATTGAAATTGTTTCACCTCTACAATAAACTAATCAACTTATTCATCAAGTGCTATTCGTACATTATGTGTTACATAGCCAATGTATGCATAGTTTCAATCGATGCGCTCCTCTTTCACGTTTTGTATAGTTCTTTTCAATTTTATGAAGCTTTTCAAATCGACAATTGACGCAAAAGTAAGAAAGAGAAAGGATAGAGAGATGAAGCGCGTGTGTGTGTGCCTGAAATGTGGAAGCAAGAGTTGGCAATAGCGCGGCACAAAAAGACACATTGGAATGTATGTACTGTATGTAACATACACGCGATGCTTGCGAAAAAAAATTCCCACGTCAAGAATATAGAATTTTAAGCATAATCCATAATGTGTGAAATTCAGTATATTCCAATACAAAACGGCTAATAAAAACAACGAAATATTATCGACGGCAATACAAAAGATAACAATGGGGGGAACACGGCAACAGAAGAACAAGACGAAAAAGAGAGAATATACTGTATGCTCATAAAACAACCACGAGCAATGTTTAAGTGGCAATGATGATGACGAAGACAAAAAGGGCTTACCTGGTTTAGTTAGTTTCTGGTTCACGAGCAATTGTCGATCGAATGAGTCGTTGCATGTTTAGTGTTGATTTTTTGCTTTGCATTATTTTGTTTATTTTCGTTGCAAATGCTCTTATTTAATTGACCAAAATGCAAAGATACAAACTGAATGCGAACGCGAAAGAAACCCGGCAATCAACCGTGCCGTATAGTTCGACAACAGTTTAACAAGTATTTCACTTCATTGCCAATTTTGATTTTAATTTTTTCTCTTCTCATAATGCGATCTAAAGACATAAAAGTTCGATTGATAAACTTCAGCTTTGAAAAAAAAAATACCACAAATGAGATTATTCTCGCAGGAGCAACCGAGCTGCAAAAAATGCCATTCGTTGCGAAAAAAAGTAGTAGTCGTGACTTGGAGGACGTACAAATTACACGCACACAAACACACAACAACATCATTGTTAACATGCCAAAGATCTTGGCACGGTGCAGCAAAAAGCGAGAGAGTAAGAGAGAGATATATAGATAGATGGATAGAAAGAAGTGGGAGAGAGAAGAACATTTTTTCGAATAATAATAAAGCATCTCGATGAACTTTTTCCGTGAGCCGGGGTGATGTGTGATACTGTTTTTAAGTTATGCTGGACATAATGTTTATTTGGCGTAGCTGCAGTTTTTATTTGCCTCGAATGCGGTAAATTAGCGTCAAAACACTTATTATAATAATACATATGTGGCCTTTGCAAATTGCGAATTGGTTTTAATAGCAATCAAATGTATGAACACACCACGAAGTCGCCAACATTAAAATAATCAAGTACGATTTTGTGGTCGGTGCTGTGCGGTGTTCCGATTCTGTGTGTGTATTTTTTTTTCATTCGGGCCATAGACATAGGCAAAGTCTGTATATATATATGCTGATTGGCAGTAAAACGGGTCATCACTGAATTGCATGAAATAGTAGTTAAACTTCTTGATTATTTTTCGTTACGATTTTGATTCGTGCCGACGGTCATGAAATGGAGATGCTTTTCTATGCATTCTAGTGCAAATGGTTCTGCGTTTTGCTTCTACACACACACACAAATCGAGCGATAACATGATGTATGTATTTATTTTTCACGGATGTGTTACGCAATTTGCCAATTCGTTATCTCTCAAACGAAGTGGAAATCGGCATTTGCAGTACGTTTCTTTCAATTTTTGTAGCCGATTGTGAATGTATTTTCCTTACATTTTCAAGTCAATTATCAACAAAATGAGTGATGCTCTTAAAAAAGGAGTCTCAAGAATACGCTGCCGTGGCGTTTCCCACGCTGTAAACGAGAAAAAAACCACCTCTTTCAGTGCCTTTTTTTTGTTTCATCAAATTTTATGATTTCACGCACTGAAACGCGCACAAAACGCCAAATGCATATTATTGGATTCGGCTTATCGTTCATCGGTCTGGATAATTATTAGGATGGACTTTGGCTTTGAAATCGCATAAATAACGAATGCACGCATCTCTCGTTTACGAACAACAAATTCCCGGTAAATTAAGAGCATTTTATGTTTGCTCACATTTCACTGTACTTCTGTGGAATTTTTCGACCGATGTTTCATCATGGATTTCAAAGAAGTAGCCCGTTCGATATATTCATTCAGAAAACATTTCGCAAAGATGGATGGGTGCTAAACATTTATTGAATGAAATGAATTTTGTGAATTATTTGCGAAGATCTGCTCTAGGCCATATAGTAAATTCAACATGAATTCCGTTAGATTCATTCAAAAATTGAACAATACGATAGAGCTGCGATGAATGCGAAGAGAAAGAAATGAAATGCATTTGAACGTTTTTTTTTCGAAACTTAACATCATTAAAATGGTCGTTTTTTTGCTATACAGAAGCCAGATTTTCGAATGGACTTCGATTGAAGATGTGCCCATGACAATCATGGAATGCACTCATTTTTTTTGCCGCTCAAAATATGCAAATTGAAAACTCTGGTAATGCAAATAAAGAGACGAACAGAAATGCAACATAAAAACGATACGCGACAACGAAAATCACATTTATAGTGTGTGCCAGGAATGTTCCACAACGCCCATGCCCATGTCGTTTTAATTAAAGTCAAGATAACGATGCTATGATAAGAAGTCGGTGCAATCTGTTTGCCAGATTTAATGTTAAAACGATGTTTAAAATCGTGTCGTGTAATGCAATAAACAAATATATGCAATACATTTGATAAGGATTTGAATGCGGTTAATGCTTAAAAAAAGAATTGCAGCGGCTTGAAGTGTCACATCCATCCATTAACTTTGACCGCATATGCATTCTAAAATCAACGACAATTCTTAATACAAAAAAAAGAGATGTGCGCACAATTACAGCACAATCAATCCGGAATTCGCTTTAGTTACCATTTCTTATGTTCGGCAAACGAAAAAGCATTAAAATTTATCGAACATAAGTGATGGCAAACACATAATTTTCTTGAGTTTCGGGAGCGAATTAATTGCTTTATTAAACATTCAACTATCTTGATTGCCGCGTCGTATCGTTGTAATATTCATTGGCTTTGCGTATTTCGCCCAATTTTCGCGTGTGTCATCATATATTAGCTACTTCGCGCTGCTCAGTTCCCTGTTTCAGAATATTCATCATTAAATATGACACGTATATATAATGAAGCTCGATTAACCCCCTCTGAGTTGATGTCATTCACAATGTATAGAACATTAAAACTAATTTACACCTACGAGCTGGATGTCGTTGCATATTCTCCCGCTTTTTCGCTACATTGATTCACGCTGAAATATTCAAATTTAATCACAACAGTTAGCAAATTATTCATTCGATTTACCAGCTGCGGCATAAAATGACGAAAAATTGCCATACAGAATTATTGAAAGCCGTTATGAAATGTTAAACGAGCAATAGCGACGACGTACACGACCGTCGTCGTCGGCTTTGATAGATACAAATGATGTTATCACTTCAAAGAAAATCGAAGCTGCTTTTTGCCTGAAAAGTTCCATCGAAAGTGGATTTACATAATTTCTTTTTGGTGTTCTTTGTATCCGTTTTGCTACGCTTTGGGAGATGCGATGACATGGTGCACAACAAAGGAAAAGAAAACATTGTCACGAGCAAAAAAATATCATCAACTCAAGCACTCGCTTCAACATACATTGTTCGGTCTAAATATTGCCAAGCGAAAAAAAATGAAATATTAAAATTCAATGTTCCTTCTTGATGTTTGATCTGAAGATTAAACAAAAGGCAGCGCAACGAAAGTATGAATTTTCATATTTTAACAGAAGGAATGCGGGAGTCACCGAGAGAGAGACAGAGAGAAAAGGGGAACTTATTTCATACTTTTGTAAACATTTAGATTTACTTACGCATCATTTCTTCGGCGATTATGTAATTGTACAATTGTTTTCTTTTTTATGTGCTGGCCCATCTCTTTCACGCGCACTTACTCCATCTGAATCGCCCTCTTTTTATGTTATGCTCACATTTTGATTGTCGTATCTGTTACTTTTCCGTCTGCACAATATTTTTGTCATACAAAATTTTATTTGGTGCGGTGTGTGTGTGTTTGTGTTACGCGAGGGCTAGAGGCTATGAATTTTGTGGGACGCAAACAGTTGAAGCAAGCGTTTGTAGAATATTATTTTTGATCTCTGGACGTTTGACGAGCGAAACAAAATGTTTTATATAAAAATTTAATAATGAAAACAAACGCGTGTGTCTCACTCAGTCAGACAATAAGGGCACGGACATAAAGTGTGCTAATAAGCTAATAGAAATTTATTCTCGAACATTTGATTTCCAACTGAGCGAATATTAAACATTTCTGTATGTAGTTTGGTGAAATTTACAAGCGCAAGGATACTTTTAAAACTGTCACATTGTTTCTCTTATTCATTTATTCCGCATGTTTTGCGTTTCATTAAAAATGTTTATCTGATCTCCATAAATGTTCTCTATAACTTACAATTTAATTGATTTTTGGTTATTCCGAGCACTCGAGCAGAAATTTAAACTCTTTTATTTCATTCAAGAGGTATGTGTTTATTAATATTATTAGAATGATAAAATTTGGTCCACCAAAAACCCCGAAAGATAGGCAAATTAGACTCGTTAAATACAACGATGGAGAAATAAAAACTAATTTATTTTGTTTTCATGGGATGCAACCATCAATTCAATAACTTATATCATGACAGTTGGAAAATGAACGTATTCAACTCAAAAAAGTATGAAGAAAAACTGCGTTAATTAAAGTGCAAAATTGGAAAAAATGTAGATTCATTGTAATCAATGAGAATTTGAGTATTGAATGCAATGACAAGCGTTTCAATATTTTCATCACAACTTTTTTTTTGCTCAAATAAAAAAATTATCTAACTATATTCTATATCAATACTGTATGTACCAATTATAGAACTTACCTGTGTTTACGACGTGAACTGCACGTGTACATTATTGTTAACGTTTTTTAGAAAGAATATGTCGAAATGTTTAAATAGCGAAATAATGACGTAAAAACAGTTATTTTATAAATAGAGAAAAAAACTTCCAATGGAAAATCTATAGGTTGAACCATGCTTATTAGAACATTTATCGCAAAAAAAAAAAAAAAAAACAGAAAAGATATAACTCATTACTCATATCGAACAAACTAAAAGAAGAAAAAAATTCTTTTTATTGTCTCTATGACTTTGTAAATTATATAAAACCAGATGTCCTCGTGTTTCGAAGAATATCTAAAGTATTTCACGTGCATTTTATATATGGCATGATGATAAAACGGAATATTTCAAAAAAGATTGTTTTGATCGTTTCGATAAAGAATAATCAAGTATAAATAGGGAAGCCAAACCGAAGAAGATCAGTTCATTTTGAGATTTCATCTCTGAACTACAATATTTTGATAATAGTCAATTTAATAACTATAAAGATGAAGTTTTTAATTCTATTTTCTGGTCTAGTTCTGGCATTGGTAGAAAGATCTTTGGTGATTGGTGAAAAGAAAGATATTTTAATTTTTTTCTATTGTTGACAGGTCTTGATGATGGTAAATGTCGCAGAAGGTCAACCTCGACGAAATAAGACTGGACGTAACCGTGGTAATGCAGTTACTGAAAGTAATGAACCTCGAACGTTTTCAAGTTTTGGGCGAGCGGCTCAAAATTATGACTATGGTAATTGGTTGAAAAAATGCGAATTAAAATCATGTTTAAATTTCAATTTCAGACAATGATGATATTTCAGCGATCACTGCCGGTCTTCATGATGTTAGTCTTGATCAGGATACTGCATCGGGATCCTCAAGTAAGATGTTCGAGAAATACTATATAAATAATAATTTCAAACAATGACGGTATTTCAGCGACCGCTGCTGGTCTTCATGATGTTAGTCTTGATCAGGATACTGCATCGGGATCCTCGAGTAAGATGTTCTAGAAATACGAATTATTCAGTTTCAGAGGCTAAAGATTTTAATTTTTTTTATATATATATATATATAAAGGTGTAATTGAAGGGTACGTCTTCGAACTAAGAGAAGTTTTTACTGAAAAACTGCGTAATATTGAAATATTAAATAGCTAAATTCAAACTCTGAATGTTTCAGTCCAAGCACATCTGGTGCTAGTGGTTCTGGGTCTAGTTCCAGGAGAAATCAACGTAATTCTAGAAACCAGCGACCAACATCCAGCGTGAGCTCTTTGGGAGAGCAAGTGAGACATAGGTATGCCGATTTTAAATTATACCCAACATTTGTTATATTAATTTAAAATCTTTTAAAATATTCCATACTTAAGGTTTAACCAGCAATAGTAAGTAAACTCATTACTTTTTTGATAAGTTATTCGTTTTAAGTAAAATTAATGAATACTTTATAAATATTTTAATTTAAATAATTTAATGCTTTTGGTTGACAGCCAACAGAGAGCAGAGGCAAGACGGTAAGAATTTTTTTTATTTGTTTTGTATATTCCATGCTCTTCAAAATGTTTGGACCATTTTTTTGCATGTGGTGAACAATACGACAGTCAACAATTTGAGGCAGACTTTAGGTAAATTATTTTCTCTTAATAATATATTATACAATCTGACTGAGTTTGAATAACATTTCATTTTTATTTCCAATACAGAAATGCTACCGGACAGGATAGAGAGGATTACATTGATCGATTGGCCTCATGTTGGCAGTAAGTATTAATTGCATTCTAATCTCTCGAATGAAATGATCAAAATTTTGCCATTTACAGAGACTTGCCTCCCGAAATCAGGAATCTTGGTCGGCGTATATTTGGCCTAGATAAAAATGGGCAAAGGAAGTAAAAATTATTTAATTTGAAATTGCGATTGGGTCATTTTGATTTGGAACATTTGTTATTCTGCAAAATGAAATAAATAAAGACTCTTACAAACGTAAGATGGGCCTTCTCCATTATAATAAGAGTAGTTTTATTTTATAATAAAAAAGACGAATAGAATCGATTGAAAGACAAAATTTAAATTCTTTTATACTTTCAACTAAATTGAAGTTTTTATCATTATCGTATCAATGTAGATGCTTCTATCATAATTTTCTTCTTTTCATGTAGCCATTCTTAATTGACCATACAAGAGCGCCCAATTACAAAAAAGCAGGCACTCGAAGTTCAACAGAGAATAACAAATAAAACCTTCGACTTGTCTGCTCTCAGATTCCAATCTCTTTTCCACAAGGCATTGAACATCATTACAATTCCGCAGAGGTTTTCATGTTCATTGCGTATAATTCGATTATTTTGCAAAAAATAAAAAACACTTGTTCATTCCATTCCTTCCAAAAAAAACTCCCCACGCAAAAATGTCAACAAATTAACAGTATGACTAGCTCAAAATGAGTTCCATCTGAAGCTGTTTACGCAGTGACATGCCTGTGTTGTGGTGGGAGAACTAATTTACACCCGTATTTGCATATCAAATGTTTTGTTTACTCAGCTTAACCGAAAATTATGTCATTGTAAAATTGAGCGAAAGAAAAACTAATTGTGTCGTCTATTATTCAATTTGACAGTGATGACATTGATACACACAACCAGTTGTAAGCAAAATGAATGGCACTTGGCTGGCTGTGTGTGATCACAGTTGAAAAAGAGGGTGATTGAATAAGTGTGAACGCTGTAAACAATATCATGGGGATGTAACCATCAATTTTAATGTTTCTGCTCGCGCGAACATGACACTCTCTGTCATCGTCGCGCAATTTCAAATGCAAAATCTGAAAATTGGGTATAAAGTGCCAAGTAATGTCATGTTTACACAATGAACATCATTTATCACAACGAAATTGGGCGCACCATATTTTTCATTTGGACATTTTGAATGGAATTTCATTCATTGAAATAAAATGACAGTTTCATGAATATACTTGGGAAGATGTTTAATCATGAATACCATCGATGCATATTAAACAGAGATACACTTAATAAAAACGACTATTGAACGATGAAAATCAAAACAAAGCGCCTTAATCAATGCATCACACACTACTACTTGTAATCAAAGACTTTTCGGAATAAATAAGTCTCTAAATGAATTCTCTTCGTCGCAATTCCTTTTGCATATCAATGTGTATGCCGATACATGTTGGTCAGATGTGCGATTGATTTTATGTTTCGATATTTTGATCACGTACCGAGTAGCATGAGGCGTTGGATGTTCAAGTGACGATAAGTTTCTTTGGTGTTTGTAAATACGAACGATGACCATATGAGACTCGCAAATGATGTGACACGCGCTCAAACTTCCTCTAAGTGGATACGAGGTAATAAACAATTAAGCACATCATTTTCCTACAGCAGGAAATGGTTCGAACAACGAAAAGCTGGTCGATGAAAAGTATTTCCTTATCTTTGCGATAACAATGGACACAAACAAAGTCAACGGCATGCATTTGTGATGATTGCCTTCGAAATAACAAAGCTAATAAGATGGTTGAGTATATGAGATGTGCACATTTGATTTTATCGATGTTCGGCCCCGTTCGTATGAACAAAACTTTGTGAATGAAGTGTTGATGAAATTTACCAAAAAGAATTTCATTAACTATCAACAATTGACATTTGATTCTTGGTTCCTCACACCATTTACTCCATCCACACTAAATCTATGTTTAAGAAATATTTAAGCGCATTTCAGGCAGGATTGACGATTTTCCAATGATTTTTGTTGTTGTTCAGAACGTTGGTCATTCCTTTAAATGAAAACAAGAAAAATAACCGATTTCCAACCACATTTTTGCACCTCATCAATTTCCGATATCCTTTTACTTCTTTTTCATCCCCCGCAAAAAAAAATTCTGAATTTGAAAACTTTTCTTGTTAAACACTAAATAATCAACAATATTAATCGGATGTGACAGCGGTCTAGAGCACAATATTTATGTTCGTTCAACTCATCGGTGTCAGCCTTTTTGCCATTGTTATCTCAAATGCTGCGAAAATCTCCCCACTGTTTTGCTATAGACCGGCTTTTTTCTCTCCTTTCATCAAAAAAAAAACTTTTCTTTCTCTGTTCCCAATTTTGCAATGTGAACGTCGCCGAGCACTAAAAAGCCAAACAGCAAACAAAGCATGAAATCGTATTAAGTGGCTCTCCATTAAAAAAGAATCTTTGTTGTTTTCTTTTCTATCGATAAGTCTCCCTTTCGTTCGTATATTCGGATAAAGTCAAAAAAATGCCAAAACAACCCGCATGAATTTGATCGAAGATGTTTTGTTTTCTGCTCTTCTTGACCTATTCGTCGACGAATAGTGAATACGATAGGTTTTTTTTCACCGCAAATCTCTATGTAAATCGAACAAATTCGCATGAATAAATAAAATAGAAGATATATTTGCTCAATCGCACTTAAACATATGCACTGTTTCTAATTTTACAGCATGTGGAGCATGTTATTTTATGTTTGCGTTGATATTTTGAAGCTAATCGCCAACCTACCGTTGGCTTCATTGGTCTGATTAAATGCATCTGGGGTCATCCCAGTTGATTCGTCAACTGTCAGGATTCGTTGGCTTTGATGTAGCATGCAAGATTTCAAGGTACTTTGTATCATTTTGCTATTCGGTTTACTCTCAATATGGCCAAAACCCTTTTTCTGTCAGCTTTCAACCGGCTACAACTTTCAATGCGAAACATTTCAATGATGTCAAACTGTTCAATATCGAGACTCTTGTTATCAGCCCGTCGGAAAAAAAATGTTCGTTCCACAATTTATGTGGTGTGTTTCATCAGTTTTTGATTTTGGTCTGAAACGTAATCGCATTACACAATGTTCATCAAAAACGAACTGCTTTCGGCAATAAAGCACCATCGCATTTTTTTATTTATTTTTTTTTTGTACCAAAAAAAAGGATTTTACTTTGACACAACCAATTACAAGCGATAAGTGAAAAAATACGCGCTGTTTTTGCGAACGGTTCATTCAATTTCATTGTTGAAAATGAAATTTTGTAATCAAATGGTGATGTGTTGCAGATATCAGCAGCAACCAACTGACAGCCAACAATCGTGTAACCAATTCTTTTTAAATTGAATTAAAAAAAGTAACTTGTACTCTTTGTGCAATTGAAATGTATGCACACACCAGCACAATATTACATGACTTGTGGCCATTTTTTGCCAATTTTCTTTCTGCTGATTGTAAATGAAATTTCAAAAAGCCATTGTCCAGCATGTTGAATTTGAATTCGATCAATGTAGCAATTTTACGGCAAATCTCGGGGGATTTCAATCCAAATGGCTACCGTTTCACACACACAAATGAATACAAAGTCAATTTTAAACTGGACTCAAAATTCATTTGGACAAAGTTACCAATTGTCAGTGATTACACAAAATGGTTTTTGTTTTTCGTTGAGTGAGCCATTCGAGCTTGTCAGCTCCATGTTTTTCACTCATATCAAACACAATTTTAAAAACGCATTGAGCTCACTTGTCCAACATAGGTTATTTCGGTGAAATCAATGAAGTTGTTAGTAAAATGTTGAACATTGTAGCCAACGGTGTGTTCAGAAATATAGAAAATGTGAACGGAAATAATGGTAAAACACCTCGTTGAATTTCCCACTAAATTAATATAATTTCGTCTATTACACATTGTCCCGTACACTTTGGCGCATCTGTACGCATTTTAAAAATCATTAATGAAAAAAATTCGGCATATATCTTTTATTCACCCCACGATTAGAAAGTCTTCTTGCGTCCATAAGAAGGAAAAAAAACCACGAAAAGCTCTTTAATGTAAATGAGTGTGCAATAAATATCACATAAATAACCGAATCAAAAATTCTTGCAGGTTTTTTTTTTAATTAAACCAATTTTATTTTGACGCTCTGGCGACGTGCCTGCATCATTTAACTTATTCTTCGATGTGAAATAACAAGAGCATTGAGATATTCATAGCCAATTTGTCATTAAAATGGAGGCAATTATGTGGCGAGAGAGAGTGTGTTTGTGACGTGTTTTGAAAGTGAAACCAAAAACAGTTTACGGAGCAAAAAAAAGAGTCGCATCGCGTGTCAGCTTACTAGGATATACACTTAGACTGCGGTTATTAGTTTAAATAGGCAAAATTAATAGGTTTATACGCGGTTTTGTCTAATGTACCACACAACCCTCTTAATGTCGATGAATATTTTTTTCCTCTGCTGTTATTTGTGTTATTCTTTCAATATTCATGTATCAAAGTCACTATCACACATTCAATTAATGTCCGCATTTTTTCAGCCACATTATTTTCGGTTGCCGCAATTTTTCCTATCGGATAAACACTTGTTCGCACGAAAGTGAATTTTTTTTTTTTTGGTGAAACTGAATGGATTTTTTTTTTATTTCGAAATGGTGGAAAATTGTTTTTGCTGCGGTTCACTTCTGTTTACTTTTTCCATGGTCGTTTACAGTTTCGTCTTTTAATTATATACGCAGTCAACCCACGGAATCTCATTAAAGAAACATAAATACTCGGTTTTTAGTCTAATGTAAACATCAAATCCACATTTACTTTATGATTTTCTCTATTTGCATTGCCGCTTGTCGGTGTTTCACAAGAATTACAGTGAGCCAAGTGATAGAATACAACAGATGATTCGCTTTTTTAAGAGAGATAGGGAGGGAGAGAGAAAGAGAAATGTAAACTGATACCAGCTGTGCCCAAAAGGCACATTTGTGTAAAAGACGAAAACGAAGAAAAGCATTTAGATATAGAAATGATGCGTTTGATGACGATTTCATTCGCATTCGCTGACATTCTAAATAAGCACGCGTTCTTCATGAAACCGAACGAAAAAAACGTCGCCTTTTGAACTATTTCCATTAAGAAGATTAAACGCTTAATTGAATTAAAATAAGTCAGATCCATAGAAATCCAGCACAGATAACGCAATCATTTCCAAGAGTGCCGTCAAA